TCGCCCCGCAACGTATACCACGACCAAGAGAGCTGCATAAACTGCAGCAAGGCGAGCCTATATTGCATTAGGGGATTTGCTTTGCGAAGCGTAATAATGTATAAGTAGTTTTCCTGGTAAGTCTGAGAATAGCCACAGTCAGCTGAGATACAAGTAATAATATGATAAGCAAATAATTCACCAATATTTACTACAGTAGAACGTCGATTATCCGGACTGTTAGGGGGACATGCTTTTTGTTCTGTTATGCAAACAGTTTGGATATGCGATCTTGTGTAGGCGTGCTCAAATTTACAGGCTCACGTACACACAAATTCTAACGCACATGACTGTAATGAAATCAAACAATAGTACATGTAGAGTACATCATTAAAAACATTTTTATTTAATCAGTAATACATTGTAATAAAAATGTTGCACGCTAGAATGTTAAAAAACGTTACAAAATGTTCGTAAAATGTAGCGATAATAAAGTTCCTTTGCTTCTTTCTTGAGAAAACCAAGTCCCTGAACGAAGTGAAGACTGATTTCTCTAAAAGATCGTCTTTGGCTGTTTTCATTATCTTTCGTTTCAGTCCTGCACTTGAATCCATTTTACTGGAAAAATCCAGCAGCTTTTGTTTTACCTTGATATCGGATATCGTCGATTTACCAACACATTACTCGGTAGATAGATTGCTTGCAGTTTCGTAACGTTCTAGTCGATTTATAATTGACACCTTCGCATCCAAATCAAGCACACAGCGTTTGCGTTTCGCTGGGGTAGCCATGCCAACGCTAGATAAAAGACGCTGATAAAGTAAACAGGCGAAAAGTCGCTTCATATACGCTGTGTATAGATCGGCTCGATGTTACCAGATTGCTTGTGGATTTTCGAATGGTAAACTGCTACAAGATGTCCCGATTTTATTGGATTCAGCAAAGTTTTTAACACCTAGAACGATTGACATAATAAATTGTTGTAAAAATCCAGGTTGGCTACTGTGATCACCGGACGTAAACACTTCGACACTGTGAACCATCAAAAACGGCCCGCCGACTGTGGTCATTGGTTGCCGTTGTCTGCTGATAAACCATCAAAGAGGCACACCAAGGTTTTGTCGTTTCGTCACTCTTTTTCACTGCACTAATAAACTGGCGTCGCTTCTGTGGCAAGACATCCCAGAAGTTATTTTCTTTCTTTTTTTATTCCGAAACGGATGTGACTTCTGATACTGGACATTAAAATTAAAAATCGGAAAAAACATGGGATCGGCTCATTGCCGTGTTTCTTTGACGACAGTGGAACCCCGTACAATTTTCCAGGGAAACGTATCCGAACTGCGGTGACTTACAACTTAGTAAAGTTAATGAGCTTACTGTAAACAGTGGAGAAGACATTTGATGAAGTTTGTGTTTTTAGGACATTTGTTATTTACAGTGGAACACTGGTGTTGCATAAAAGGCTTGTCTGAATTTAGGAAAATTTTGGATACAGTACAAAAATAATTCGTTTCATTTTTTGCGCAGACACTGTAAACAATGAACGTACACGTGAAAGACTTCGGATTACATGTTGATAATAGTTTTATTGAAAGTGTTGCACCAGGAAATCACACAAGACGACTGTAGTATTTATTGTTCACAGTTGACTTTTGTATTATATGGAACACAGCCAGACCTGCATACAAACTTTGGGGGACACACAGTAGGTTCGGATAACCGAACATTTCAGATAATCGACGTTCTACTGTATATATATATATATATATATATATATGGGGGTAGCCAACTTGAACATTGATGGAAACTAAATAAAGAGACAAGTTTAGAAACAGATTCCTACAAATCAGAGAGAAAACAAACTTTCACATCCAAACGATTCGTTGGGGTAACATTAAGCCAACTGCTAATAAAATTCGACATCACTTCATTACACGAAGAACATAGAACACTTTCCCTGGTATATTTGAAAGCGAAATCGTCATCCAACTGTAAAAGCCATCGCTGACTAGCTTCTAAAGTATGACGACCGTCCCTACCAGGGTCCCTACTGTTATATAGATTCACCCAATGTGAGCATGACCACAAGAGATTCGAAAGCCAACCGTTTAGTCAAAACCAAAGCAGTTAGCCAATTCGCTAGCGAGTTTGCAAATTGGCTGCCCCAATATTTCTGAGACTTGCTGTATAAGTATACGTTTCTAATATGATGGACATACGTAGTAGTACGTTCATGCAGGGAGCTGGTCCTTGCTATTATGTGGCAGGGGAAAGACTTCCTTAAGGCCAAAACCCCAAAAACTCAAGCCCTGTGTCCTGTAGAGGGGGACATATAATTAAAATAGAAGAGTGGCACTGGAGTGACAAGGTTAGGATTAGAGTTAGGGGTAAGGGGCACTAAGTAAGACTTATCGTAGTAGGCAATGTCTGGCAAGTGAGCGCAACCGAGTAGATTTATGGATACACTAAAAATAGAACTGATGTAACCTCAGAACATTGAGGTGGTAAACTGTGGAAATCAAGTTATTAATTCGCAAGCAAGTTGAACGGGATTCAAGATGGCACGCATGATTCATGTTTCACTGCTAATCAAAATGACTTGAAATACTATTGAACTATTTTCAGTTCGTTGCTTTATCAATAAATATCATCGATATACAGGGTTTGTGTTAACCCCATATTCTGCTTCCTGGACCTCCAAAATTACTACATTAGTACAAAAATTGACCTCATTTGTACACAAAATATATTTCCAGTTCTAGTTCATCAGGACTCGATACACTAAAATGCATGAAGATCCCCTCCTTTAAGTATTGTCAACTGTAAGATTATCGAAAGAAAAATGTTCATTCCCTG